TTCTTCACCCTAAAAAGAAGTTCTGGGAAAAATTTCATCAATTTCGTATGTGTAGGAGATGAGATAAAGCTTTTTTAAAAAATAAATAATCTTTCTCCTGAGAGAAAATATTTTTTACAACTAAACTATTAGAGTATCTTGGCTGAAATTACTTCCACTATTTCTTCACCCTAAAAAGAAGTATTGAGGAACATTTCAGCAATTTCGTATGTCTAGGAGATGAGATACAGCTTTTTAAACAAAAAAAAATATTCTACTGAGAAATTATTTTTTTACAACTAAACTATTAGAGTATCTTGGCAGAAATTACTTCCACTATTTCTTCACCCTAAAAAGAAGTTTTGAGGAAAATTTCAGCATGTTCGTATGTCTAGGAGATGAGATTCAGGTTTTTAAACAAAAAAAAAATATTTTCTCGGGAAAATATAATAGTTACTCTAATAGTTGTAAAAAAATATTTTCTCGGGAGAATTTTTTTTTGTTTAAAAAGCTGTATCTCATCTCCTAGACATACGATATTGCTGAAATTTTCTTCAAAACTTCTTTTTAGGGTGAAGAAACAGTGGAAGTAATTTCAGCCAAGATACTCTAATAGTTTAGTAGTAAAAAAATATTTTCTTAGGAGAATATTTTTTTTTTGTTTAAAAAGCTGTATCTCGTCTCCTAGACACACGAACATGCTGAAATTTTCCTGAAAACTTCTTTTTAAGGTGAAGAAATACCGAAAGTAATTTCAGCCAAGATACTCTCATAGTTTAGTTGTAAAAAAATATTTTCTCAGATTTTTTTTTGTTTAAAAAGCTGTATCTCATCTCCTAGACATACGATATTGCTGAAATTTTTCTCACTACTTCTTTTTAGGGTGAAGATATAGTGGAAGTAATTTCAGCCAAGATACTCTAACAGTTTAGTTGTAAAAAAATATTTTCTGGGGAGAATATTTTTTTTTGTTTAAAAAGCTGTATCTCATCTCCTAGACATACGAACTTGCTGAGATTTTCCTCAAAACTTCTTTTTAGGGTGAAGAAATAGTGGAAGTAAATTCAGCCAAGATACTCCAAAAGTTTAGTTTCAAAAAAATTTTTTTCTCAGGAGAATATTTTTTTTGTTTAAAACGCTGTATCTCATCTCCTAGACATACGAAATTGCTGAAATTTTCTTCAAAACTTCTTTTTAGGGTGAAAAAACAGTGGAAGTAATTTCAGCCAAGATACTCTAATAGTTTTGTTGTAAAAAAATATTTTCTCGGGAGAATATTTTTTTGTTTATAAAAAGCTGTATCTCATCTCCTAGACATACGATATTGCTGAAAATTTCTTCAAAACTTCTTTTTAGGGTGAAGAAACAGTGGAAGTAATTTCAGCCAAGATACTCTAATAGTTTAGTAGTAAAAAAATATTTTTTTTTGTTTAAAAACCTGAATCTCATCTCCTAGACATACGAACATGCTGAAATTTTCCTCAAAACTTCTTTTTAGGGTGAAGAAAAAGTGGAAGTAATTTCTGCCAAGATACTCTAATAGTTTAGTTGTAAAAAAATAATTTCTCAGTAGAATATTTTTTTTTGTTTAAAAAGCTGTATCTCATCTCCTAGACATACGATATTGCTGAAATTTTCCTCACTACTTCTTTTTAGGGTGAAGATATAGTGGAAGTAATTTCAGCCAAGATACTCTAACAGTTTAGTTGTAAAAAAATATTTTCTCGGGAGAATATTTTTTTTTGTTTAAAAAGCTGTATCTCATCTCCTAGACATACGAACTTGCTGAGATTTTCCTCAAAACTTCTTTTTAGGGTGAAGAAATAGTGGAAGTAAATTCAGCCAAGATACTCTAATAGTTTAGTTGTAAAAAAATATTTTCTCGGGAGAATATTTTTTTGTTTAAAAAGCTGTATCTCATCTCCTAGACATACGATATTGCTGAAATTTTCTTCAAAACTTCTTTTTAGGGTGAAGAAACAGTGGAAGTAATTTCAGCCAAGATACTCTAAAAGTTTAGTTTCAAAAAAAATTTTTTCTCAGGAGAATATTTTTTTTTGTTTAAAACGCTGTATCTCATCTCCTAGACATACGAAATTACTGAAATTTTCTTCAAAACTTCTTTTTAGGGTGAAGAAACAGTGGAAGTAATTTCAGCCAAGATACTCTAATAGTTTAGTTGTAAAAAAATATTTTCTCGGGAGAATATTTTTTTGTTTAAAAAGCTGTATCTCATCTCCTAGACATACGATATTGCTGAAATTTTCTTCAAAACTTCTTTTTAGGGTGAAGAAACAGTGGAAGTAATTTCAGCCAAGATACTCTAAAAGTTTAGTTTCAAAAAAAATTTTTTCTCAGGAGAATATTTTTTTTTGTTTAAAACGCTGTATCTCATCTCCTAGACATACGAAATTGCTGAAATTTTCTTCAAAACTTCTTTTTAGGGTGAAAAAACAGTGGAAGTAATTTCAGCCAAGATACTCTAATAGTTTTGTTGTAAAAAAATATTTTCTCGGGAGAATATTTTTTTGTTTATAAAAAGCTGTATCTCATCTCCTAGATATACGATATTGCTGAAAATTTCTTCAAAATTTCTTTTTAGGGTGAAGAAATAGTGGAAGTAAATTCAGCCAAGATACTCTAATAGTTTAGTTGTAAAAAAATATTTTCTCGGGTGAATATTTTTTTGTTTAAAAAGCTGTATCTCATCTCCTAGACATACGAAATTGCTGAAATTTTCCCCAGAACTTCTTTTTAGGGTGAAGAAATAGTGGGTGTAATGTCAGCCAAGATACTCTAATGGTTTAGTTGAAAAAAAAAAATTTTGTCTCAAGAGAATGTCGGCTGCTAGTTTCAGTTTCAACAATTTATTAAAATTATATTTTTAGGAGAGGAGATAAAGGTACCAAAACTTGTCACGTTAATTTTTAATATTATTTGTAATTTCGCAACGAAAAATTCTAATTTTTAAAAAATATAGGGCCCGGACCCTATCTTCTATGTTTCGTCCATGTCGGCTGCTAGCTGGTGGCTGCTAGTTTCAGTTTGATAACCAGGCTACCACACCGTACAACGAAGAGTACCGATATAACAGTGCCTTTCTTAACCCTGACATTGGCAGAATCATCGTGCATAATGATGGAGCCATAATACCCAAAGTGGAAGTGGAACTCAAGGAATAAGATTTTTCATACAAACTTTCATTCCCTATTTTATTCCCTTTGGGGATGAGTTTTGAAAAATCCTTTCTTAGTGCATCTCTAGTTCTCATAAGGTACCTACCTCTACGTGCCTAATTTGGAGTTGCCTGACCCAGCGGTTTGGGCTGTTTGCTTATGGGTGTTTCTCTGTAAACTAGGTAATTTGATCAAAGAAAGCAGTCTAGGCAACTTTTTTTTTGTTATTTATTTAATAAATGTTATTGGATGAATAAATATATGTCTATTTATTCATATACGGCAGATGAACCAAAATATCCCAATTACTTTAGAAAATATTGAATGTTACTTAAGTCAGGGGACTGTGATTTTAAATGTATAGAAAATAATCATTTAATATTGGTTCTGAAATTGCATTTTATATACAACTAGCTGACCCAGCAAACTTCGTACCGCCATAAAAATAGGAGCAGGTGGTAGAAGAGAAAATTTAGGGTTGTATGTATTTTTTAATACTACATTATAAAAAAATAAATATTGTCCAAAAAAATTTTAGGGGTGTGTAACGTAGTGTTCTATCAATTTCCTGGGATAACATTCCTCCTAACCGATATGAGAACATTACGTTACATTACCCAATAGCTTGAATTGAGGCGCGAAGGTACATTGTAGGTTTAAGAAAACTATGTTACATACAGGTGGACAACCACTGTGATAGTGGTTGGTTAAGGATATGAAAAATAAATAGTAGCCAATTCTCAGACCCACAGAATATGCATATAAAATTTCATAAAAATCAGTCAGGCCGTTTTGGTGGAGTATGGTAACGAACATTGTGACACGAGAATTTTATACATATAAGATTTCAGTACCAATAATAATTGATTTTTATTATCAATGAACTTAAGAATTAACAAACTGAACAATAGAATCAGCCTTATTAACACTCTTTGTACATTCTCTAGACAAACATTTCTTATTAACAACATAGCTCCTGAAATAATTTCTAATGCTATTAAATTTATTTTCTGTTGTTTGAACTTCTTGTACAATACCAGTATTGAATCAAGCATGTGTCGCTTCAGTTTCCATTCTACTTTTTTCATTATAAAATCTTTCTTTCCTGCTCCTAGTCTACTATCAGAATCATCTTTATAGAAATTGACATTTTTATTATTTTTTATGTTATTATCCAATGCTATTTATAATTTTAGTAGGATTAGGTGAATTATGTTATCAAGGAAACGGCAGATAGGCATGTCTATTTGACATTATTTTAAAATATCAATATTTCACATGTATTTTTAATCTTATCCATAATTTTTAGTCTCCCTGAGACTTATATATATATCTCATTAAGTCCAATTGTGCCTGATAAATATCAAGGAAGCCAATTTTACTAATGTTCCCATATTCATAAATTTGCAAATATTAATAGAGACAAGAAAAAACTAGACCTTAAGCAAAACTCCCATCAGCACACGAATACTTTTCATTCCTTCTCTCCATATTGTATTTACAAATTGATTTAGTAAATAACTTAGAAGTTCCTTATTAAATAGAGAATGGACAAAAAAATTAACAAAGTTTTAATCTTCCATAGTCTAAAATAACTATCAGGCTTGCTTTCATATACCTAATTTTTGTGAGTCTCCTACTGTATGTATCATGGCAATTGCAATAGTGCCAAAATGGCAGGAACTCATAAAATAACTAGTTTTTTATTTGTAACTAGGTAACATAGTAGCAATTGCAGTAAGAAAAAAATGATGACGTAAAAAGCACAAATCAATTAATGCTTATTAAAAATTATGATTCAAATATAAGTATACCATAAATTTATTTACCTTTGCTTTTGCTTACCTTCACTGAGCAGATCATCTCGAACTGGATTTGTTATAAGGAATTGATTGCATAAGAATTGCAGCACCACAACCCTATCTTCTACAGATGTAAAAGGATATTCGCAAGTGTTCACAATTTTAACAACATTTTGGTCAAAAGACTTGTCACTTTCCACATAAATCCTAAGGACCTCAGGCCATGTCATAACATCTAATAAAAACAAAGTAATGTTAACACTATCTTTATGGTCCAAGGGACCGAAATGAGTTTGTTGGGCATCCTCTTCTCTCAATAAGGCCTTTAACAGCATTATATGAATTTCTATAAGTAAATTGCTTTGATCTTCACAGCTTATAGCTGCACACAGATCTTCAATGCGAAATGGTGATAATCTTACAAGATGACGAAAATGCCGCAGAACCTCATAAATGCCTACAACTTGTAGTACTAATGTTTGTGGGATAATCAAATCATCTGAAGATGAGGGAAGTTCCAGAGTTGGTACCAGTCGTTCATCCTGTAGCCACAATGGATCAGGGCTTGGAACACGGACATTACCGCCGACCTTTCTAGGTGTACCACCTGAAGTACTGTAACTGCTCACTGAGAAGTCACTGTCACTAGCGGCGCCGTCCCCGACAGTTCCTTCGGTACTGTCGCTTGCACGATCATCTTCTGGTTCTGATTTATCGCTAAATTCATCTCCAAAGTCTGATCCATAATGGTATTCAGATTCGTGGTAATCTGCTACTTGCGGATTGTAACCTCTACGCGAATATGCATTGGATAAACCTCCTCTTTTACTTTTGTGGCTCTTACCGCCTCTGAGTTTTCTTGTACTTCGCTTACTTACATCACTTCCTAGTGGAGACGATGCTCTCGACGCTGAAGGAGTACTTACAAGAGATGGAGATGGTAAATTTTGTTGATTCAAAGTTTGTAAATATTTCGGCTTTTTCAATAAATGATATTGGAATTTTCTGTTCTTTTCAAAACTTCCAGATTTTGGGGGTCTCCCGCGTTTCTTAGCCCCCCTTCCCGACATCATTGCATCAACTGTCAATTAAATACCAACTTGCACGTGTACCACAAAAACATAGTCTTGTTTACAAAAACAAAACGATGGAATTGCATTTCAGTTCATCCTAAATCCAATGCAGTCATGATCTAAGCGCTTTGTAACAGTCCGTCGCATAACTGAACCTGGCACGCTTCTAGATGATTTTCTTAAAGCACTTTTGAAAGGAAAACAATTCAAACACTTATATCAGAATGTACACAGAATTTTTATCAAAAGAAAGAAGGCACCAAAATCCTAATGACGCGAAATGCGAGTACATGCAATTCTAAAACGCTTAGATGCTGGCTTCTCATTGGTCGATCAGTCCGCCATGTCGTTTTCATACTTTTGGTATATTGAATTTTCAAAGTATCAGTGGAAATTGTTCCAGGCGACCTCTAGAACTGCACAATATGTGTTTATATCGACGTTTATAGAAATACCAAATCACGGTATACTTTATTTATGACTAAAAGTAAGATAACGCTGAAATGAGAATTAGCAGAACAAGCTGTACACTCGTTTCGGTAGTAGCGCGGCCACCATTTTCTTTTTGTGCATAACTCAAGCGACATACTCAAACCAAAAATATTTTCCTTGTGAACTATATTTCAAATATACAAATATTTTTTATTAAAACTGTAATTTTTATCACAGCTGATTCGATTAAATAAACATAAATGTATAATAATTTTCACAATAAATAGACGACGGAAGTGAATTTTTATGTTGGTAGTAGTAGTAGTAGTAGATCAAATAAACTTCAAATTTCTACACCATGGACGAAAGATTTTGCCATGAACGCATAATAGGCTAGTTTACTCATGTCGAATTGTATTAAATAAATGTTTATTTCTTAAAGTGTTTAGTCTAAGGAACCTTAATATATCGATTTCACTTCATAAAAGCAGAAGATTGCTGTAGAAATTTAATTTTAAAAAATATTTTTTAGTCTATATTTTTTAAACACTAAAAACGCCGTTCGCCACATTCGCCATGATTTTGACGTCTCTTATGGTAAACAACAAAATGTCATTCGCGTGTTACTGTAGGTGGATTCTTTCGTCTGACTAAATTTATCTTAAAACACTTTTAACTTTAGGAAAGAAAAAAACAGTAAACTTAGTTTTTTTTGACTAAACAAATTATGGATGCCGGCTTTGTGAAAGCAGAAAGCACAAATCTGCCAAGAATTGACGCATTGATGGTTGGTGAATTTGTTGCACTAAACCCCGATTACTGCTCTGCGGAGCAGAGAAACGACAAGGCATCTATGTAAGTACCGTGCATTTAGTATTACAATGTAGTAATAAACATAAAACTGATACAACATATGAATAAGTGTAATAAAGTTGCGTAGGTTAATTTCTTTCGGCACTTTAATCCACAACTTTCCTGGAGTCTTCAAGGATGTGTTTTTATATTCTCGTACAATACAGTAATGATAATTTATTTTTCGTGGTATTTATTAGAAATCATGTTTTTTTTTATTAAAAACTCAGTTAAAAGTAATTTTCTACGTGTTTACGAGTTTTTGTTTACCACTGTTCACGTCATAGCATAGACAATCTATAGACTAAAATGGCCGACAGCGTTTTTGTATGTCCATGAAAAGTCTATTTTAAAATTAAAGATTTGTAGCTTTCTCGGTTTAAAAAAAATACAATACATTTTTTTTCGGTCTAATAGAACATTTATTAACCATTTAAAACCTTTTTCCAAAAAGAGTCAACTAGCCTATTATAATGTCCTCTACGCACTATCTAGCATGTGGAAGCGGGACTGAGCTATACACGTAAAAGACATGGAGATATGAGATAAGCGTAGCAATATGGCGGACGGCAAGTGGCAACAGACAAAACAAACGCAGTTTGGACATGTCGTCTGTATGTTGTTAGGTGCAAAGAGGACCAAGGAAGAATAATTACCGTTAGGTATACAGCCTCCTTGGATAGAATAGTTGGTCGTTGTAGCGTTCTTACAACATACATACAGTGAAAAATTCAGAACAGAGGCCTTTTATCTCTGTGTAATAGTTGACCATGATTTTTATTTCACGGAATTCAAAAAATAAAACTACAAGTTTTTTTCTACAAAATTATAAATGTGAAACTTTAATACTGATATCGACATTGTTTTTCTAAAGTCGTGGACTTGAAGAACTCACCTATTCCATAAATAATAAAAAAAAGTTGTTCAATTGAGACTAAATTCCTCTACGCGCTATCCATCTTGATGGATCCAGTAGAACAGAGCTATACACGTAAAGCGGTCTACTGCCATTCCTGCCGCAGGGCCAATTCAAGGCGCACGGGGCGGTCGGGGCAATATCATCTTGTCGCTACACCCATGCCTGCTATTCCATGTTCGGGTATAAGTTTAGCTAAACACATGCGTTGATAATGGAACCAGTATGATCAAAAAATCGGTAGGAATAGCCTTGGCTCTTTTAAGCGCCTTCGCGCGGTTAGGGTATTAGCGCAAAAAAGGAAATACCGGGTGGAGAATTGGAAACAGAAAGAAATGTATTGTAAATAAATTATATTTGTGTTCTTTATCCCACATGTCGGGTCGGTCTTTATATACTTCTATCAATCGAGACCAAACTTCATGCTCATTATGATCTGTCACCATCTTGATCGAAAAACATGCGCTCCGTGTAACAGTTAGGCGCTTTGCAGACGACGGGGCGGGGCGGGCCGGTCAATTTCGCCGCGAACGATAGCACAAAGTGAATCCTATATTACAAACGCACACAGAGGGCAAAAAGACCGCGCCGCTGCCCGCCGTGGATCATACTAACCAGTTTATATGCAGTAACGCAGACGGCGGCGCGGGGCGGTCAGCTCAGTCCGCGCCACGCGCTTTTTAGTGATGGGCTATTCACTAGAACGAACGTCCTGAACTGACCGCCTCTGCCCGTCGTGTGATTTGTGTACGCGGTGCGGGCAGCCGCAGACATCGACGGGCAGACGCGGTTTTTATTGCTTCACGGACAAAATGCCCGCCCCGCCCCGTCGTCTGCTAAACGTCTTACCAACCAACTGATTGAGAAATAGCCCCGATCGCGCGTCACACGTGGACCGTGCAGGGCGGCAGGGACAATCTAGGAACCAAGGGTGGTCTCGCGCCGCTGCTTGCCTACACACATCACAATTTAGGAGGCAATTAAGGGTCATCCCCACTCTTACACCCTAGATTGCCCCAGCGGCAGGGATGTAAGTAGTCTGCATAAAAGAGAACCTGCATATCTTCGGTTGCTTTCCAATTACAGAGCATAATGCGACTTAGTGCCGCACAATGCCGAATTATGCTAATGCTTAATTGGAACGTGCATTAGTTTTCAAATGCACCAGCAGAGTGCGCTAAGTTCAGTGTTGAAAAAAAAAGTCAATGTTTGTACCTTCTTCCATACTTATATTTATTTTTTAACAGTTTGAATGAACTTTGATTATTTAAAAAAAACTATTTAATGAAACGAAAGCTTTCAAAAATTTTCAACAATAAATAATATTACTAACAATAACATATAAATAAAACATTTCGATCAATGCCAACTTAAAGAAAAAACACATGTTAATTTTCTGTCTCTAAGTTGGTACGACTGCACGCATCACACGAAAGCATCACTTTTGAGAGTGCTCAATTGTGCGAAGCGTTGCTGTATTTGGAACACTCAACGTTAAGCATTATGCCGCATAATGCGCTATAATGCTGTAATTGGAAAGCAACCAAAAAGTCACCTATAATGAAAAGTCGCATTCGGATCGGAGCGTAGGTTTGGAACGTGGCTGCGCGTCTACGTTCCAAACCTACGTTATGAGTTACCATTTCAACCTGACGTTTCAATTTCTACATTGTATGAAGCTGAAGTCAATTTTGACATTTCTTTTGTTGCACTTAGACTTTAATGTTCTCAACCTGCCAATAGTGGAAGATGCGTAAAACTGCAAAAAAAAACTGATCATCTGTAGTACTCAACCCTGACATTGGCAGAATTGTCTAAGGAGACAACTAGGGACACGATATCGAATAGAAAGTATCGATATTGTACTCATGAGTAGTATCGGTAAAAAAGTATCGTACTCGTAAAAGTATCGAAACAAAAGTATCGATACTTCAAAGTATCGAGTACATTTCATAGGGCCTTATCGGAGCCTCTGTGACCTGATGAGCAAAGGGTGTTAAAATTGAAAGAAAAACAATCGAATTTTATTGTAGTACGTATAATCAAAAACAAAAAAAGGACATGTAAATTCACAAATTACTATATTATATAATGAAAAGAAAATAGCTGTGATTTCTGACACTAAAAAAGTGTTCATTTATATTACATTCATTATTAAAATGTTAATTAAAAAGATCGAAATCTTAAACAATATAAAAATATGAAACTTTTGAGATTTGTTTCTAATTAAACTTACTTTTCTTGAATTTTAATCATTAAAAAACATTATACCCACTTATGTTAACTTGAATCTGACACGTAGTTAACGGCTGCTATTGGCATGCTTCACTCAAGATTTTATAATCTTGAGTGAAGTTGATATAATTATTTATGGAAGAGGTTACGTCCGTCTTTTTTTCAGGTGGTTTCAAATAGGTATACACAGCACAGACAGATTAATAGTGTTACACTTGAATAAATCAAATACAGTCAAGCGTAAGGGTGTGGCCAGACTGCACTCAGATTCAGATTCTGAAAACAAGCGCGAGAAATAAACAGTGTAGTCTAAGCAGGTTGCCTGCTTTTTCTCGCGCTTTGTTTTCTGAGTCTGAATCTGAATCTCAATCTGAGTGCACTCTGGCCGCACCTTAAAGCACAATAAACGGTGAATCAATCACAGTTCCTAACAATATGGTCGCTAAATAAATAACTATGAAAAGGTATCGATACTTGCCAAAAAGTACTCGTTTAGTAAAAGTATCGAATACAAAGTATCGAGTACAAAAGTATCGGTATCGAAAGGAAAAGTACTCGATACCATAAAGTATCGATACTTTTTTTCGTGTCCCTAGAGACAACAGCCAGCCTTTACAAAAAATAGAATAGAAGAGACTTTATAGGTTTTGAACGCAGCCTAATGGACCACATTCTTTTCGGCTAAATTTGTTTATAAATTGAAATAAGTTTAAGTTTTTACTATACGGGTGTGGGTACGTGGCTGGAAATTTAAGTAATTTCTAATAATGTATTCTATGAAGCCTATAATCTTTCAAAACTGTGAAATATCATTACCAAAATGCATGTACCGCATACGCGACTTAAACGAATCTAAAACTCAACCGATCGAAAACGAAAACGATATCAACATTCGTGGCCAAGTTATCAAGCTTATTAAGGTTTATGTTTGATTCATTACAGTGTTCAGTTTAAGCATCTTTTAGTAGATCCACATAGTCCTACCAGTAGCCCTCTCTTATTTAGCTAATAAGAAAACAATATGATATTTTAGTGTACAACTACGAAATATTCTTTACACTGCTAGTACTAAGCCCTAGAGCCAGGGCAGCGTATGAACGGAGTGTCATTATCAAGTCCCCATGACTCAATTCATTCTGCCCATTGCTCTGGCTCTAGTAATACTTGCTCTGCTATTTGGAGTGGCCACAGATGTAATTTTTTGTTGATCTGATTTTTAGTGTCCCAACTTTTATTATTATAAGCTACTTATTGTTGATGTCTATATTTGAACCTTAGAAAATTCATACTGTTCTAATTGTCTCGCAAAATAATTAACACTAACTTCGAAATCTATTAAATACTTCCTGCAAATTTTATTAGTGTTGCTGTTTGCTATTACTATTTTAGACCTTGCTTATTTCAAAGTAGAATATTGTTTGATGAGAAACCATTTTCCATCTTTGTTGGTCACATTTTCATTATTAATTATCTTCATATTATATTGCAGGTGCCATCTGGAAAAATGGCTGAACTTGAACAAAGGCAAGACCAACTTTTGAAAAAATTAGATATCCTTTATGACAGGATTAAAAGTATAAGTTCAATTTGTACTCCAAATCCAGTAAAGTGCAAATCTAAAATACAATCTGTTAGTATTTTTTTTTCATATAAATAGTGTTCTTTCTGCTAACCTCAAAAGCAATGATGTGAATAATGTACTCTTACACATATATCTTGTTTTTGTTACTGTATAACTTTAACATTTACAGATACCTGTACCAGAAGAAATTGTGTTGAAAGTTAATCCAGACAATTTGCCATGGTATTTATTTGTTTTCATGAAAGATTCTACCATAAAAGTCAATATATCATGGCATATTCATTCGTCAGTTACTAGTGAAAAAGTAAAAAAAATACAAGCTTTTTTGAAAAATATTCAGAATAATAGCTTCAAATCAAAAATAAATTTAAGATTGATATTTAGCAGTGGTAAGTAAAAGTTTTTTAGTTCCATTTGCCCCTTTTGTCCATTTTGTATTGACAACAGTATCTCCAGATCATAGTCTTTTTGACCAGCCCACTGACTGACCGATTTTGAATTGAACTAGTTGACAATCATTGCTCTGTGGTGACAGCTTTCTATCAAAAATATTTCTGGAATATTTTATTCATTATTGAATTTGATTTGAAACTAAATCTGGTAATAAAATTGTCCTCCAGTGCTTTTAATCATTTATGAAGGATCAGTAATAGTTCACTACACCTAGGGTTGCAACGATATATCGGAATATCGATAATATCGAGACCAAAATATCGATATTTAAAATTCACTGATATCGATAATATCGATATTGGAAATTCCAAAATATTGATATTTCGTAGACTAAATTTGAACACAATAATATCAATTAATTTACCTGCTATGACTATCTTAATTGAATAATATCAAAATAACTTTGAAATCGCAAGAGCTTATAGATATATTAAAAAAATCTTGAACCCCAAGAAATATACTAAACTGGTGTGGATTCTGGCATAATTCTCTAAACCTAAAATTAAATTTGACAACAGTGTATCCTTGTCATTATCTATACAGAATGAAAAGGAGAGACTACCTATGTTACGTTTAGTTTTAAGTTTAGATAATCATGCCAGAATCGACACCAACGTATATAGATATAATCGTATACCTAATGGTAACTCATGCACTTAAATAAAATCCTTGCCTCTCTTTCTAGATTATTGTCAACTACTGATTAATTGAAATTTAATATCATTGTAATATAACACAAAATAAAATTAAGAATCTTATACAAATCGTAAATTTTTTAAGCTCACCAAGTCAAGAAAGTAAGATAGGTATAGTAATTTTGGAAGCTTTGGGCTTACCCTATTCTGAAGCCATGGGCACGCCCCCGATGTGTGGGAGACTAAGCAATTTGCGTATTTGATTTGCGCTAAAAAACCGACAGCTTGAAAAAGCATGAATGTAGTGAAAACCGAGAAGGCATTCGCAAATGTCGTCCCACATATGCGGGTTGGCGCATTCGTGCTAACGAATGTGAGTGATCTGATCAGGATAATAATTTTAATTTTTTGGTTTCCTGTCGTGGCTGAAACACAAACCGTGCTAGCCACTTAAAAAAAAAATCCTGCTTGGCGCGATTTCATCAAGCGTGTTTAACGGAAAAGCTGGCTCAATGCATTTTGCGAGAAACTCGCCAACAAACATATGAATGTGTCACACTCACCCCGTTTTCGAATTTCAATAAAAAATAAAAAGGAAAAAATATCGATAATATCGAGTTAAAATGGTCGATATATCGGATATCGATATTTTCCTGACTTCGATATAAATATCTATATTTCAAAAGACTTTGCATCCCTAACTACACCCCTTTTTCGGAAGTAGCGTGCATAAAAAGTGCCAGAACCAGAACTCCAAAAGTTATATCATAATGAGATCCTAATTTCAAAACTGTTTTGCTTATACCCTCAGATTACAGAACAAAAAGCATATGGAATGCATGGAACACATAACTGCGGCCACCAAAACAAAGACAAAGTCAAAAGTAAAGACGTTTTAGTCTTTGTAAACAGGTTTTACAATGTTTGAATAAGGCGGGACAGTTTTGATAAAAACCTCATATTTAAGGGACTTATTCACAATACGATAGGTTGTAGTGTGCTGACGCGAGTTAGTATTCGCTTTTGACTTCATATTTTCTTTGGTGGCAGCACTTGCATGTTTCGTGTTTATATCGGCTTTTTGTTTTGCAATGTAAACTTGTATCTTATACAAATGAGTGTCATATGCCTTCCTATGCTATTTGACCAATGACAAACAATAGGGCCTTTTTTTAATAATCATCTGCCTTCTGTGTACTCAATGTTTTGACTTTTATAAATACATAACACATGTAACTTGTGTATACAACCGATTGTATTATAATCTTTGTGAAAACACATATCCTTATTCTCCGATTGATTTGTATACAAAAAAAGGCAAGGGGTGCCCCTAGTCAAGCCAAATCATCATAATGGTGGTCCAGTCATGACTTTATAGACTTAAATACCTTCAACAGTTCTTTTCAAAATAGCAACACTTTAATTGACACCTTCTTATTTTCAGCGTCAATGGATTCTGAATTGAAGTTATCTTCATTATCAGTCCCAATAGTGGGGAGTGTAAACATATTGAGGTATTTATCACTTATATATCCAAATACCCTTCCATATGACACCAACAATCATCTTATGGATGGACTCCTGGATCTTTGTTACATATTAGAAAAAACCCCAGAAAAGAACAAAGATGTTATTATTCAGAAATTATTAGTACATTGTAAGGATTGGATTTACAACAATGCATTTTCAATTGTTGATGTGGCTTTGTACAATGTTGTTAAACAACTAAGAAGCAAGCCAAAATCTGTGCCAAGTAGCTGGTTTGAAAGGTGTCAAAAGATTTGTTCTTAAATTATAATACAGCATGTGGAGTTTTCTTTTATGTCTCTTTTGTATGTAGACAATGAGTTAATTTCAGAAATATAACAGTTTTTTTGAATTGCTTTTTATTTATTTATGCATTGTTCTATATACATACAGGTGTCCATCTAATAACAAAGTACAATGGGTGAAGCACGTTTTTTTATCCGACTTTAAAAAGGAGGAGTTTCTCAATCTGTCCATATATTTTCTTAATTGTTCGCGATTATCTCAGAGTAGAGTAGAGAATAGAGAGTTTGACTCACTTTTTTGGCGAAATGGTCCCCCCATCCCAAATGGTCCCATTTTAATTTAATGAAGATCTAATAAGTACCTACTTTTGGAGAAAACAATGGCTCTTCTCGATTACAATTCGTGTTTGGTTCTTTTAAGAAATATGAAACAGATAATCCTGGTTTTCCGTCCGGTGGGTCGGCGTATCTCTTCCTTAGGCAGTTACTCGGGAAAACGTGCTACCACTTGTTTGACTGACTTTGTCGCGACTAACTCCACTCGATACATGTCTCTCAATTTTTTCTCATCGTGGCAGCCCGTAAAACAGAGTTTGGTTGTACAGTGGTGCTCATCCCCACTGGCACTATGGGTCGGCAGATTGCGATGGTATGCGCGACTACTTTCCGTCCGTCCCTTGGAAGCAGCGCTGCTTAAAGGAAAAGGACCTATGGGACAGCGCCGTTGCTATTACTGAAGAGATCGTAATGGGAATGTAGTAATACATTCCACATTCTTATCTCATCAGGAAGGGCACACGTAACCGGTGGTTCAGTCGCGACTGTGCTAATGCTGTTTCACGTACGCAGGCGGCATATCACGCTTGGATCAGAGGCCGCGCTCTTAACGATCCCGGGTTTGACTCACTGAAAGCTGCCTATAAAAGTACTTCCAAGTCTTGTAAGAGGGTTTACTTTAGAGCGGATGCCCAACGTGTATGTATGTGATGTGATGCACGTACTGGCCACGAATTGTTAAAGCACCGTACGGGCTCCCGTAGTTTTTGGCGTTAGGCTAAGGCCGTGCAGCACAACTTCTGCCACCTTTGCGATGTCCAGATGGGTCACTAGCTCATAAACCGCAAGAGAAAGCAGATTTATTGGCAAAGCTCTTTGCAGCTAAAAGCGCCTATTGACATGCCTGCCGTAGGGACAATCTAGGGTGCACGGCGGTCGGGGCAATATCGGCTTGTCTCTACACACATGCCTGCTATTCAGTGTTCGGCGGTATGTTGAGCTAAACACACGCGTTGATGATGGTCCCAGTGTTATCAAAAAATCAGAAGATCGATAGGCAGGGCCTTGGCTTTTTCTATGGTGATACCGCAAAAAAGGAAATACTGGGTGAAAAATTGGCAGCAGAAAGAAATTTATTGTAAATAATTAATAAAAATAAAATATTTACAACACTCATACCAATTAGCCTAGCCCCAAGCTAAGCACTATAAGGCTTATGTTATGGGATACTAGGGTAACGGATAGAATACATATACTGTACATATATAAGTATATTTATATAGAAATACATATTAAACATCCATGACTGGAGTACAAATGCTCGTATTCATCACACAAACATCTGCCCCCACCGGGATTCGAACCCGGGACCTCTCGAGTCGGCGACACCATGAAACCCGGCGTACAAACCACTCGGCCAAGGAGGACGTCAATATATGGTTATTTTACTAGAAAAAAATCCACGCGGACCTGGTAGCAGACGGGACTCGAACCCGCACCCTTCGCTATCCGGGCGAATGCACTGATCAATTACGGCCGTATCGAATTCTTTCTAACCTTTCTTATGCTGCAAGGCAGCGCCATCTCTTCGCATTATAAGTAACCCACAATGCCTACACCTATGCCTATGAATACCTTTACAGGTATTAAACATTTGAAAGAAGAAATAGCAATTAATGTAATTGCTCAATCTAAAGAAAATATTACACGAAAAAATTAAAAAAAAACTTTTTCTATTTTTCTAGTAATATTTTCTTTAGATTTAAACATCGAGCAGTTACATACTTAAAAAATAAAACTTATTAAAAAAAATACACTTCTGGACACATCTATTGGCCCACCTTGTATTTTCAGTTACGTTTGGTCCTAGCTAAAATTTTATATTAGGTCGAGCAAAAAGTTTTTATGCAGTTTTGAACCTGGCACATTCACAATTTCATTCAATAGTCTTTTTTTGAATTTCGAACACAGAATTTAAAGAAACAAAAGACAATTTGGAGCCTGTTTGTTGATATCAAACAATCGAATACTAAGAAAACTTGGTTTTATTGGTTTACTTGGATTTAATTCTTGAAAAAGTGATTGATATCACGTATATTAAGCTAGCAGACCATGGTCGCAACGCGCACATCTAACCTACTGGGTATTTAGTTGCTAATTAGTTACACTATTCCCGATTTAGTTGCTCAACACCTGTAAAAGATATATGCGATCTGCTAGATTAAGTCTTAACCTAGCAGACCACAATACTGTATCTTCGGTTCTCGTAAAGATATCGAAGTTCTGCAAACGGCATATTTAGTTGCTAATTAGTTGCTGTAGGACAGCATTATTTGTAATATCCCCCCATCATCCCTTAATTGCCGCACCAGCACCCACACTACCCCCGAAATACGATAAAATTAAAAAGAGCTCATCAGAGAATATAAACTACGGCGTATTTCGTTGCTTATTAGTTGCTGCAAAATAGCTTTCTTTAAAAAATTTAACTATCAACCCTTAACTCCAGATCATCCCTGCAACCACCTCAGAATAGAAAGATATCGGAAAATTCTCGTAGGTAGAAAATAGACGCGGGATATTTAGTTGCTAATTAGTTGCTCGTCAATTCTACAAACAGAGTATTCTACAAACATCCCCTAACCTCAGATGCAACCCCTCTACTCACTTAGAAACAGTAGATGGTTGGAATTCGCACGCAGATGTTTAAAACTGCTGCATGTTCTGTTGCTAATTAGTTGCTGCAAAATAGCTTTGTTTAAAAAATTTAACTATCAACCCTTAACTCCAGATCATCCCTGCAACCACCTCAGAATAGGACGATATCGGAAAATTCTCGTAGGTGGAAAATAGACGCGGGATATTTAGTTGCTAATTAGTTGCTCGTCAATTCTACAAACAGAGTATTCTACAAACATCCCCTAACCTCAGATCCATCCCCTCTACTCACTGAGAAACAGTAGATGGTTAAAATTCGCACGCAGATGTTTAAGACTGCTGGATGTTTTGTTGTTAATTAGTTGCTGAAAAATAGCGTTGCTTATAATATTTGATTATCAACCCTTTAACTCCAGATCATCCCTGCAACCACCCCGGAATAGGACGATATCGGAAAATTCTCGCAGGTGGAAAAAAGACGCGGGATATTTAGTTGCTAATTAGTTGCTCGCCAAAAACGCAGTTAGGAGTATTCTACAATCATCCCCTAACCTAAGATCCAGCCCCTCTACTCACTTAGAAACAGTAGATGGTTGGAATTCGCACGCAGATGTTTAAAACTGCTGGATGTTCTGTTGCTACTTAGTTGCTCGCCAAAAACGCAATTAAGAGTATTCTACAAACATCCCCTAACCTCAGATGCAACCCCTCTACTCACTTAGAAACAGTAGATGGTTAAAATTCGCACGCAGATGTTTAAGACTGCTGGATGTTTTGTTGTTAATTAGTTGCTGAAAAATAGCGTTGCTTATAAGCTTGCAGGGATGATCTGGAGTTAAGTTTAAAAAATTTAACTATCAACCCTTAACTCCAGATCATCCCTGCAACCACCTCAGAATAGGAAGATATCGGAAAATTGTCGTAGGTAGAAAATAGACGCGGGATATTTAGTTGCTAATTAGTTGCTCGTCAATTCTACAAACAGAGTATTCTACAAACATCCCCTAACCTCAGATGCAACCCCTCTACTCACTTAGAAACAGTAGATGGTTGGAATTCGCACGCAGATGTTTAAAACTGCTGCATGTTCTGTTACTAATTAGTTGCTGCAAAATAGCTTTGTTTAAAAAATTTAACTATCAACCCTTAACTCCAGATCATCCCTGCAACCACCCCAGAATAGGACGATATCGGAAAATTCTCGTAGGTAGAAAATAGACGCGGCATATTTAGTTGCTCGCCAAAAACGCAGTTAAGAGTATTCTACAATCATCCCCTAACCTCAGATCCAACCCCTCTACTCACTTAAAAATAGTAGACGGTTCGAATTCGCACGAGAATGTTTAAAACTGCTGGATATTTTGTTGCTAATTAGTTGCTCGCCAAAAACACAATTAAGAGTATTCTACAATCATCCCCTAACCTCAGATCCATCCCCTCTACTCATTTAAAAATAGTAGATGGTTCGCATTCAAACGCAGATGTTTAAAACTGTTGGATATTTTGTTGCTAATTAGTTGCTGCAAAAAACCGTTGCTTATAGTATTTAACTATCAACCCTTAACTCCAGATCATCCCTGCAACCACCCCAGAATAGGACGATATCGGAAAATTCTCGTAGGTGGAAAATAGACGTGGGATATTTAGTTGCTAATTAGTTGCTCGTCAAAAACGCAGATAAGAGTATTCTACAAACATCCCCTTACCTCAGATGCAACCGCTCTACTCACTTAGAAACAGTAGATGGTTGGAATTCGCACGCAGATGTTTAAAACTGCTGGATGTTCTGTTGCTAATTAGTTGCTCGCCAAAATAGCGTTGCTTATAGTATTTAATTATCAACCCTTAACTCCAGATCATCCCTGCAACCACCCCAGAATAGGACGATATCGGAAAATTCTCGTAGGTAGAAAATAGACGCGGCATATTTAGTTGCTCGCCAAAAACGCAGTTAAGAGTATTCTACAATCATCCCCTAACCTCAGATCCAACCCCTCTACTCACTTAAAAATAGTAGACGATTCGAATTCGCACGAGGATGATTAAAACTGCTGGATATTTTGTTGCTAATTAGTTGCTCGCCAAAAACACAATGAAGAGTATTCTACAATCATCCCCTAACCTCAGATCCATCCTCTCTACTCACTTAAAAATAGTAGATGGTTCGCAT